TTTTAAAACTTACCATTTTGCTTTCCCTGCCTACATCAGTAATCATGAATTGCAAATCGTCCCCTGAGTTACTTAACAATGCCATGTCATCAGCGAATCCAAGGTTACTAAGGTACTCCCGTTTAACTCTTATCTCTAACTATTTCCATTCAAGCCCCCTTAAAACCTCCTGCAATCACGTGATAAGTAGCATTGGGTATATTGCATCCCCTTGTCTTACACCCTTCTTTATTGGTATTCTGTCGCTTTCTTTATGGGGTACTATGGTGGCCGTTGATCATCTCTAGATTTCTTCGAGGATATTTATATATGGTTCGTCGACGCCCTGGTTACGCAGTGTCTGCATTACTGCGGATAGTTCTACTGAATCAAATGCCATTTCGTAATCTAGAAAGCTCTGTATAGTGGTAGGGTGTGTTCTGAGCATTTCTATATTATGAATATGGTCAAATGTTGAGTAGCTTGTTCGAAATCCTGCTTGTTTTTTTTGTTGATTGAATTTTAATGTTGTCTTAATTCTGTTAGCAATTACTTTTGTAAATGGCTATAGTATACGACGGAGAAAAAGCTGATCAGCCTGTAATTCTTCATGTTCTTGTCGTCCTCTTTCTTATGAATTAAGATGATGTTAGCATTCTTTCACGATTCTGGTACCCTCACCGTCAGGAGACATTTCGTAAACACGATGCATATGGCTAGCTTTTTCTAACACAATCTGTCCTCAGTCTTTCAAGAAACGTGATGTTACCTCATCTTCACCAGTAGCTTTACTTCTTTGTAGAATTCCCTCGAAGGTTTTCCTGACTTCTTCTGTCGTTACTGGTGCTATACCATCTTTGTTAGTACTGATTCTCGCATTATGGTCGTGGTTGTCCCAGCTACTGTACAGATCTCTGTAAAATCCTCCCTATCGTATCCATATTGGTAGTTACTTTGCCTTCTTTGTTCCTTAGAGCATACATCTGGTTTTTGCCTATTCCAAGTTTCCTCTTCACCACTTTCCCGCTTCCTCCATTCATTAGAGAATGCCACATTATCTCCATGTTCTATCTTCTTTCATGGAATTATGCTTATTAATCAACTTCGACAGCTCTGTCAGTTCTATCTGGTCTGTTTGAGGCTATCATGCTTTGACGTTTTTTAATAAGGTTCATCGTCTCCTAGGACAGCTTGCTAGTGTCCTGTCGGACTAAAGAAAGCCCCAGTTACACTGGACACTCCATAATGATACTCGTCAGATTATTATTCATTGCGTCAATGCTAAGGCCGTTTTCCTCAATAAAACCCAAGTATCTGTTCTGAAGCGAGACTCTGAATTTCTGTACTTTCCATCTCAGTGCTAGCTCATTGATTGGCTTCTTGCGTATCAGTTTATGTTGTTCCTTCTTCATGCCTAGGCACATTCAAGACCTTGCCATTCTATCGTGACTGCATCGTATCTTGCCAAGCACTTCCACATCTTGCACGATGCTTGGGTGTGCACTCAGTATAAAGTCTATTTCGTTCTTACTTTCACCGTTAGGGCTCCTCCATGTCCACCTAACGTTCACTCTTTTTCCATAGAAGGAATTCAATACCCGTAAATTGTTGCTTTTTGTGAATTCACTAATAACTCCCCTTTGGCATTTCTTGTACTGATGCCATTATCCCCTACAGCCTGGTCTATAGCCTGCTTCTTTCATACCTTAACATTGAAGTCGCCCATAAGTATAGTATACTTTGTTTTTACCTTGCCCATCGCCTATTTCCCGGTTTCATAGAAGCGTTCAACTGATACGTCATCATGGCTGCATGTAGGTGCGTAGGCCTGTACCACCTTCATCTTGTATCTCTTATTTATTTACGATACCTAACAACCTTTTATTATTGCTATAGTATTCATTTCTGTGGATAAGGAACCCCACCCCCAGTTCTCTTCTGTTAGCCAAGCCACGATAGCAAAGGACGTGCCCATTCCATAGCTATGTACAGGCCTCATGTGTACTCCAGCCTCACTGATCCCAAATTCATCCCAATTAGCACCCTCTCGCTCCTCGAAAAGTGCAGCTAGACTTGCCTAACATGATAAGGTTCTAGCGCTAAATGTTGCCAAGGTAAGGTTCAAATGGCGGCCTATCCGGACACAGAGATTCTCAGCCCCTTCCGCTGTGTCACAGATATGTCCGCCGCCGTGTTCAGTTTTCTTTGCAGCCGCTGGTGACTGAGGTCTGTGGTTTATTTGACGTAAGTATGTGGGAGGTATTGACCAGTTACCGCACCAGGGTGGCCAATCCTTCTGTGTTGAGGGAGTGCGTTACTGGGGGTGATCACATGTGAAGCCGCACTCCAGGCCTTTTAATAAAATTCAATAATCACGTCGATATATATATATATATATATATATATATATATATATATATATATATATATATATATATATATATATATTGTTACGGTGCGATGGATGGCTTTATTTACAGGAGATGATCAAATGCGAGAGTCCAGGGATCTGGCCGATCAC